GAAAACCCAGACTCCCTGTCAGGAAGAGAAGGGACCTGGAAAAACCAAGGGATTTATCCACAGAAGTGAGACACACTCCCATGGGCAAAGTGCTGAGTTCCTGATACAGGGAATCCTCCTGTGCTTGCAAACACTTAATCACATTACATCTTCTGTGGAGCCCATTGTTGAAATCTGCTTTAATTCTCCAACAGCTGCTTCCTAATATGGACTAATACAGGTTGCATTACATCTCTCTATTTTTAGTGCACATGTTTTTGGCCATAACAACTGCTCTTTCAGGCCAAGTCAAACCTGCAGAGAAAACACAGCTACGAGACAATGATTAAAGATGGGGAAATGCAATGTAGCAGTAACATGTGTTTAAGATTTATACCTGTTCAGGGAAAGCATTCCCTACATTTGATACCTGTACACCAGCACTTACTTAAATTATTACCAGCTTTGATAAATTGTTAAAACAGGTTGCAAAGTAACTATGCAGAGAAGCAACACGTTATTATTTTGTGAATTAAAATATTGATCTTCCTGTTATTTCACTGTATGTGCAGCACATTTGCATTAGAGGAAAACTGGTTCATTTAAACTGACAAAAGGGTTTAAAGCAAGCCCACATTTAAGAGTAATTTATGAGGTCTATATCATAAACATGAAATAACAACCTTCTGTCCAAAGACAAGCTGCTCTCTCTCATGCTCCTGGACTGTATTTTATATCAAATCCTTCCTATGTAAGGAGACTTTAATACATCACTGGAGACCTTTGGAGAAGTTGTAACAGAACTTACTTTTCCTGAAGAAACAGAAAGTTTTAGGACATGGTTAGAGGAGATTCCTATGCTTTCACAACATGCTTTGATTCTGCCTTGAACATTGATACTTTCTCAAAAATGAGAAAAAAACTGATTTTTTTTTCCTATTTACAGACTCTGGTGGCAAAGAAAACATGCAAAATATGTGTCCAAATCTCAGTCAATAGTTAAACTACTGTTGTTCCATGGTAGTTCAGAATAATAATCTGCAGCTGAGGCTGTGATGGACATTGTCACATGGAAACAGCTTTACTGTATGTCACAAGCTCACAGAGAGAGGGCAATGAAAGAAGCTCTATCTCAGGGCATGGGCACTGCAAAAGTCATGTATGATGCCTTAAATGAAATCTTTCTCTCCTGCCTGGCTCTTCTGCAGGGAAACTCTTACTTGTATCTATTAAAACCTGCAAACAAAACTCCCTTTGACTCCACTCTCTCCATAGCAAAAACACTTCTCCAGGACCTTTGACAAGAAAGTTGTCAGAGCTGGTCTTTAAAGTGAGAGAGGGTGTGACAGGAGCTTTGTGCAGATGCTGCCCAGTGTCCAGAGATGAGAGGTGTTTCACATCACTGGTGTGAAGCTATTTCCCCTGCTCCTCACCACTCCCTGCTCAGAGCAAGTGAAACCCAACCTTCCCTTCCTTCCCCCTCACTGCATGTGCACCTGGAAACCTTTTAATAGGTTTTCTGTTTGCCTCACAGGGGCTCATGTTCATGCCTGAGCAGAAATGTGCATTGTGACTTGAACTCTCTCTCTCTTGCAGGATGACAGGTGATAAAAATAAAACATATTCACATATCATATGACCAACAATAGCACCTGGCCCATGGTGATGGGATCCTTCCTTTGCTGCTGGAGCACTTTGGAATTCAAACAAAGGAATTAAAACATCAGCCCTGGGATTTTTTTTAACCCATTAGTAGACACTTTCAGGTTCAAATCTCAAGGATCCAGTCATGCAAAACCTTAAGTACTTTCCCATTCTTGACTACAGCCAGATTAATCCTCTTATACAGATTATTCCAGGAGAAATTTGGCTCTCACAAAGTTCTCCTGCAGACCTAAAAATAATTCTGAGTGCTGCAGGACGTGTAACACCACTCAGACTAAAGGAGTTGTTTTAGAGATTTTAACCACCCCTTATCAAACCAGCCTGATGGCATTACCTGGCCCCAAGCCACTTTCCCCCTCCCAGTGCTGGGGTCTGCAGGGAGGGCACCACATCTCTGGGTGGAACACAGGGGCACTGCCCTTGCAAAGCTGTGCTCTCTGTCCCCCCAGCAGCACTTCCTAATTAAGTTCATTTTGCCTTCCTAAAGTGCTTTCCTGCTCCTCCTCCAAATGCTCACACATTACATCACCAAGCACCTTTGTTTTAAAAGTTATTAAGTTCATATATCACAGGAAATTTGCCATTGAGCAATTTAGCCCTGTTTAAATTTTTATGACATGATCAATAGTTAGCATTAAAAATTCAGCCTATTTTTTCTGCTTTGATTCCCAAATAACCCCAGATTATGCCAGCTACCTCTGAATTACAGAATTTTAAGAAGAAAATACATACAGAGGTGATTCTTGTGTATTCAGAAAATACAAGAACAGCAGTAAAGGACTGAAAAATGCCCAAGCATGGCAGTTCCGTGCCCTTGAAAAATACTAATTTTATACTGTATTTACACAGACCTGTCTTTTTCTGTCTATGTCATTCTACAATACAGGGTTTGTAGCTAACTGTCTGCCATAGAAATATCCCCATGCATTTACAACCTCCAACCTTTCCTGCCAAGTTTTAGCCTGGGTGAGCCAAATTTTAAGCCACTGCAAAACAACCTCTAGTACAAATCTGACCAGGCCATGTTGGTGAGTTTCACTGCAAAAAGACCTTTTCTCAGGAGAAACTCTGGAAGCACACCCCGAGATGGTCACTTCCACACCGTTTTATTAGAAATGGACCTTTTGTGTGTCAGACAGGATTAATTTTTTAATTTCTAAACACCTTTTGCACAAAAGTTAATCCAAAGCAGACAGCAGGCAATTAGGTCATTAATGTGCTAAGCCTATTAACAGCCATGAGTTACATTTCTGTCCCTCAACAATGACAAAGATCCAGGGGTCTGCCTTTGAGTGGGAAAGCCCATGAGCAATTGCATTATTTTAGGACAGGGCTACTGCCAAGCAAGGCTTGGCTCCCTTCTTAGCACAGCAAGAGTCAGCACCCAAGGGATGGGAATTCTGTTCCCAGTGCAGCAGTGGCTCCCCAGAGGCCCTCAGGAAGCAGGAGGTGCCACTGGAAATACTCTTTCACCAGTGTCTTCTTCATGCTCACTCAGCTCCTCTTTCCCTTTGTAACCCCATGTAATTATTACCCAGTGTCTCCCCAGCTTCCTTCCTTTAGTTCCTCTTCTCTCAGGGAGGGAATTCCAGTTCTGCCAAGGACAGGGAGCATCCTGCCCCTAGAAAACAGGTCAAAAGGTTCAGTGGCCAAAAGGTGAGGCTCATTTCCTGAACTGATTCTGGTTCAATTCAGATTTTAACTAATGGCTGTCTCATTTTACAGTGTAAGAATTCTGAAATGCATTTTCTGTGACCACAGGGCTGCAGCACCTACAGAACTTGGCTGGGAAATCAGAGCAGTGCTGAATTCTGATGTTTCCTCTGAAAAGAGACATAAGGGATCTGTAACTGTAACCAGATCCAAGATTTCATTCTCAGAGAATCAGAGAGAAGATTGGCTTAGTCTGAACCCCTGAGAACAATAAACCTGCTGAACTATTAAGAGCTCAGCTCCTCACAGGGGAAAATAAAGGTCCTGGCTGCAGGATTTACCAGCACCCAGTGCAGAAGCAGGCACAGGTTGTTTTGCTGGTGCACAGGTCTGGTTAAACACAAAAGCTGGGATACAAAGCCTAACAGGCAAACTTCAGGTTCCTGCCTGTTCCAGTGAGCTCCTTCAGGCCTCTTCCACTGCTGTTCCCACAAGGAAGCTTTTTGTGCCTCCTGTTGCCGCCACATCCTTCCACATCCAGCAGCAGCCCTTGTCCCTGAGCACTCAGCTCTTCCCACACCAGAGATTCTCACTCCTGTGCCCAGAAAATCCCCCCAGCCCCACTCCCCACTTTGCCCCTTTGGCAGCCCAGCAGCAGAACACACTTCTCCATTTATGCAATCCATCCAGGAGAAGGCAGGAGAGGAATGAAAGGAGCAGAAAACACAGGGACACTGCAACCTAATGAAGAGATTTCACAATGTTCATAATAAATACCCCCTCTGCAACACACCCAGAGAGAATGCCAGAAATTATAAAATTTAATTGCTCTAAAGAAGCAAAAAAATAGTTTATATCAGCTGGCAAGTTGACTGTGTGGCTTTGAAAGTGAGAGAAGACAGGATATGATCAATGAACAGAGTTGGCCATTTTCTCCTGAAAAATGATAGCACATTATAATATATGATATAACATCTGTTTTATCAGATAGAGCTTAAGTTTGATGAGTCAAACACCAGACAGAAAAAGCAAAATCAAGCTCCTAGTTTAAAAAAATCACCTTGCTGAACTACATCTGGTAGTTCCAAATGCACAGAAGCCCTTACAAAAGCAATTTAAAGCCATAAAATAATACAAAGTCTGCTCACTTGACCCTGATATGGATTGTGTGCTCTGCTACACAGAAGTAAGAATGATGGCATGAGAAGCTGAAAAAGAAAGCAGATTGCTCTTAAAGACAAACAAAATATCTCCAGATATCCCTTTATCCTATTATGAGCTGGATCCCTGGAGTTGGACTCCCCAGATGCTACTTGTGATTAAATTATATCAAAGCAGGTGAAATGATGTTTTCCACACTCTGAAATGTGAGGATCACCATTCTATCCCTGCCTGCTCAGCACAACTCCAGTGGAAAGGCAAAATGGAAGAGTCTCCATTAACACTGACTTCAGTTAAAAATCCTGAACCTTTGCTAAAAACCCAGTGAATCCCTCCCTGAGCAGTGGTCACACTGCAAGATTAGAGCAGAATTTATCATCTCACAAGTCCAGTGTTACAGCACTGACAACCTCATGGCTGTGATGTGACTCCTCCCTAAGTCACACTTGCCATCCTTCCCCAGCCCCAGCTGCCCAACCACGAGAATCACAAAATCCAAGCAGAATTCCCATGGCTGCTCTCTGGAACCACTCCAAGCTCACCTGCCACAACCTTGCAGTGCTCCTCAGGGCCCTGGGGCCTGGCGGGGTGGCCGGGCTTGGTGGATCGTGTCCGCCTGATGAGATGTTCCTTCCCACTGAAGGAGCTCTCAGATGCGTTCACAGGTTGGATCAGCAGCTGCTCTGATCCAAGCTGGATGTAGCCAACCTGTGCACAAAACAGAACAAAAAAACCCCATCAGTTTGGTGCCCAAGCCTTGTCTATCCAGCCCAGTCTGAAACCCAGGTCATTCACTGCAATGGTTTGTGAGGAAATGATGGGATTATGGTTGTGTCCAGCCTGTGTAATACAGAATAAAGAACTTCATCTGCTTCTCTTGGTTATTTTTTATATCACTGAGCACTATTTAGAAACAATGCACTGTACAAAGGAAAGGTGGGGATTCCTGTCAACACTTTTGCTTTCCCTTCCTCCCCCCCCTCCAGACACAGCCCCACAAATGTGTGTGTTTTACAAGATGCTCAGCTCACATGAAAAAATAAACCCTGTTAACAGAAATCCCTTCAAAATCACCTCTCCAGCTGCCAGGACTGCCCTGCTATTGAATGGCATTTACTGTCTCAGGGCACAGAGGTGACACTGCCTGCACACAGGAGGCCCCTGTGGGTACCAGCCTCACAAGGAACACTGAGTGAACTGATGCAAGTGTGATTTGCAGAGCCACACTGCATTTTTTGGGACCAAATACCTCTTCCTTACTACAACAAAGGCCACACAGTCAGCTCTGCTCTCCCTGAAGGCCACGGGTTGGGTTTCAGAGGGGAAGTCAGGAATGGACTGTTGTACTGCCCCAGTTTCAGGATTTTCCACCATTCCTGGAATAAGTGACACTAGGAAGGCAAAGACGCTGCCTAAACAACTCCATAGGGTCCAGGTCAGAGCACTAAATCCCTGCCTTCCTTGCACCAAGTCCAGACCTTACAGCAGGGCTGGCAAGAACACCTTTGGAAGCCAGCTTCTGCCCCAGGAGAGCCCTCCTCTGCTCACAACCCAGAGCTTTTAAGGTTCTTTTATGCTTTTTCCACTCCTTTTCTGGCATGAAAAGAAGAGAGTGAAAGCTAAGTTATCACCTTAAAACTTAACAAAGCCTCCAGGTTTAGTAATCAACACCGAGGCTGTAACATGTTGCACAAAGTGGGTATTTACAATGAGGAGTTCTTACTTTTCATTGCACTAATCCAGTGATTATTTATATTGCAATTAAAAGGCTCAAAACACAGCTCTGCCCTATACCTCCCCCTTGAGAGAAGTCTTGAGGTCTGATTTAACTTCTGTTAACACCAGAAGGGTTCATCTGGTCTGCCAGGACTGTGCACCTGAGAGGTGAAGGTGCTTCCAGAGAGCTCCAACACCCATCCTGTACATAAAAAGAGAGGCCAGACTTTTCTGGTCCCCCCTCCCCACGCTCTGTGCCAGCCAGGCAACTCTCCAAAGAAATGCTCTGCACGTACTTCCAAATGCTGTATGTTCAACAGCTGACTGTACTAATATGATTTATAATATACATTACACACATACTGTATATTGCACATTTCCACACCTCCCTGCCAAATCCGGTCCTCACGTACACCCAGGAAATCCCCTTGGCCCAGTATTTCCAGCAAGAGGAATTTCTGTAGCAGAAATGAGAGCTCTCCTCCTCTGAGGAGGAGAATGAACTGAACAGCATTCAGGGTGTCTCAGGAGGGGTCACTGACTTCCAAAGAGAGCTTGGACAAAAAGAAAACTGTAAAAGTTGGTGTCTCCACTGGGCATGGCTGCAAAGCACAGCAGAGACAATCAGTGCCCTGTCTCTGAGGAGACAAGAGACACCTCTTTGGGGGCCTTCCAAAAGAGACCTTGCTCTCTGGGGAGGGGAACTGCTCAAGGATAAAATGCCTTGGCACTTCCTACATACAGAGAAAACCCAACATTGTTCCTAGGCCCTACAGAATGCTCACCAGTTTACAAGACCCCCTCTGCCCTGGAGTGTCCAAAGGGCTGCCTTTTCACTTAAACCACAAGTTGGGCTTTGTCAGAGTTGCTCCAGAGACAGCAAAAGCCCTGGTGACTTGTTCTTCCAGCCTCCTTTACGATGTTCTCCACTACTTCCCCTTCTTGTTCCAATCTTCCAGCTGGGAGGTAGCCCCAGCCCCCTTTTTTAATATAGGTTTTAATTATTTAGAAGAAGGGTTGTAAATCTGGTGCCATGGTACTAAAAGCCACACCAGAACTCCTGACAGACTGCCAACCATTTCAGCTGGTGCCAAAAGTATGTAAGAAGAAGTCAGTTTCATCACCACCCGACATTATCCCAATTTTTTGGCATCAAGAGTGAAAATAATTTAAACCATTGGAAAAGACTTATGTTTCACATTTGCTGTGGAATTGTGAAACCTATGGAAAGAAAGAGCCATGAGTCTTCACCCTGGAATACGTTGGGAAGCATCTCAAGCTCAATCTGAAAAGACAAACAGAGTTTCAAGCAGGAAGAGTTTGCAGGATCAGGCCTGTAAAGCATCCCTAGGGAGTTAAAAATGTTTAAAATTTCCCCAGATTTGCCAGTTGGACTCTGAAGAGTCCCCAGACCTGCTGGCCCAGAGGAGATCTTTTGGACCCTGTAACTTGAATAGTCAGGTCATCATTTTACTTTTTCCATAAGAAATGCATTCCTCATTTGCATCCCTCAAATCCTGAAGGTCCTGCCCTGTGCTAATCCCAGCATGAGAGATCAGACATCAGCCCTGGACAAAGGCTCTGGGCTTTTCTTCTCTTGTCTGAGTTGAGGGACTGCAGAAGGCTTTAGATCCTGAAGATAAGGAAGTGAAAGAGAAGACCATGTAACCCTCAGAGCTACTTTTCCCACATCTCAGGGAAAAATGTGAAATGCTTTGGATCTGCCAGTTCCCATTTGCCTGGGGAAATGCATATCAAAAGTTGGGATACTCCCTCCCATCCTTCTCTCCCTGTGGGAGTCCAGGACCTGCTGCTGTGCCAGATCCTGGGACAGATGAATTTTGGGAAAAGCAGCTGCTGCCCAACCCCACTGAGACACAGGAACCCAAAAATTCAGAGGAGTGCAGGAGTTCACCACCATCTGCATTAATTTTACACTTGGTATGGCCAGACCATGCAGCTGACAGAGCCCTGCAGCTCTGCTAACAGGAAAGGCTGAATGATTTCAGCCCCCAAAGGCAGGCAAACTGACAAGCTGATTAAAACAAACAGTAATCCACACTTGCCACTACAGCCCCACTCACCACCGTGCCTAACAGTGGCAAGATCTTTCACATTGAGGATATTTCACATCCTTATTTTAGGAGTCAGCTCAACATTGCTCACCACCAGAACATTCACATGTGCTCTTATCCAGGGTTTCACACACACAGGGGTCACTGAAGCAACCTGCTCACTCTGCCATCTACTCTTGTACTACTCCTCTGCTACAAATCACCTTCCAGTGGAGCTTTTCTTGGGCTAAAGGACAGCAGGGAAAGGAGGAAGGTCCTCACACTGCAATGACAGTGTCAGCACAGCCTTCGTGTGACCCCATCCTGCCTCCCTGGCTCTGTCCCTGTGCCCTGGTAGTGCTGCTGGAGCTACTGCAGCTCCAGGGCCTGCTCAGAACAGGGATCCAAATTCTCAGTGCTCTCTGCACATGGTTCTCGACCTTCCCACATGTTAATACTCTCCAACAGTTACACTGTTTTTCCAGCCCTTTTTATTTTCACAACATCTTTGAAGGAGATCTGTGAAATGCTGAATCTTTAACAGATTTTTCTCTTGCTCCTAAGTGTTCATTAGTTACATACATAGAACATGCTGAAAAGAGAACAGATTTAAACATCTGACAAATTCCATCCCCTTCTCAATTTCTCAACTGTTACGCTGTAAATCGTTGTTTAACCATTTCCTCAAAGTTAAAAGGAAGTTAATGTTTAAAGTGAAGAACAAAACAACCCACAAATACAGTTTAATAAATTTCATGTGGGTTTTAGTCCCACCCTTATTAACCATGTTTCAGCTTTGCTTGGTTATTATTTAAAAGTGCAATTCAAGCAAATTGAAAAGAAGAGCTTTAAATTAAGTCTTGTTCCAGAGTCATTTCAGGTTTACACTTAGTTCTCAGAGCAGAACATACCCAGGAATATCTGTCCTGGCCTCCAACTCTGCTAGACAAGGAAACCCCAACATCTTCTCCCTCTTGTCCACTGTGGAAGAGGAAATAAAATCCCAGCACAAGGAAACCCAGCACAGTAATTTTAAGAGGTTTAACTTTTCAGCTCGTGGCCCAGCTATGGATGAATACCAGACAGCTCCTCTCCCAGACAGGAGAGTTCAGTGGAGCTGAAGGTTTCCTCAGGGGAAATTGTATCATCTTTAATCCCCACACGCCTGCTCTGCCCTGCTTCCCACAGCAGCAGAGGCTCCTGAGTCACCTGAAGGGCAGCACCACCCTGCTGCACACAGAAAACACTTCCCTGGCCAGGGATGGAGCTCCCTGAGCTGCAGCACCTGCTCTGAACCAGGCACCAGCTCCCTCTGCAGTGAAACTGGCAATTCACCAGCCTAAGGCACCTGTGGCACAGGATGAGCCACCAGGGAAGTGCTCATCTTCATCACTCACTCTCCCCTAACACCCAGACTGCCCAACCCTGACAGACTGCAGCCTCTTCTGCATCCTTGTTCCTCTCCTCCAGAAGAACTCCATGAACCAGCCTGAACAGGAGGGAGGCACAAACTCTGCTCTTAATTCAACTGAGAAGAACATGCCACCTTATATAGAGACAGGACAAAGGGCAATCCTGAACCCCAGATCAAAGACTCTGGATTTTAAAATGGAAGAGAAGTTATTTAGAATCAAACCTCTGCCTCTAAATGCATCCCAGTGATTGTCACCTTCTGGTTGCTGAACAGTTCTCAAGAGTTTCGTTTCATTTCTAACTATAATGCTTATTTTGACATGGACTTACAACCCTCTTAAAACTGTAACTGTTTCCAAAATGCAGGTACCAAGTATGAAAAGCCTACACCTGCTCTAAGGAGCTGATGCTGCAGTCCAGCACTTCAGCACGTGACAGTGACTCAACTGTGGCCTTACAAAGCTGGAACTTTCCAAAAAACCAAGTTCCTGTACTGGCTGCTGTCTTCTAGTGCTGGTCCCAGAGCTGCAGAGCTGCCTGTGAGTGCCCAGCAGCAGGGAAGGGCAGGGCAGCCCTGAGCTGTGGCCAGAATCCAAGTGCTGGCACAGCTGCACTCCCCAGAGGCCGGTGCTGCCAAGGGGAAGGCAGCAGCGCTTTCCAGGAACGCTGTGCCTCTGCTAGGCTGAATTCCCAGCTTGTCACGAGGAGCAGGAGGGCTGGAGCATCCTCACACCAGGCACTTTAGCTGTAGCTCAATGGTGAGACCTTGCGCAGTTTTTGCCTCACTCTGAGCTCACAGAGCTCCAAGAGCACGGCCACCCTTGCCAAAGCAGGAGCTGCAGCAGCCACACACAGGTTAACAGCAGCATCTGCCAGCAGAGCTGGAAAACCAGACCCCAACCTTCAGATGCCACACTGGGAATCTGAGACCATCACCAGGAAGCAATTGCTCAGCCTGGCTGCAGCTCAGCTTTCGTGCCACTGTGTCAGGGATTTTGTTTTTACTAGAACTCCACTTGCCCTGATCATTTTATATCACTTTTGGTATGATTTATGGCATGGCTGAGAATATGATTGCAGCAAGGCCTGAGCCAGCTGGAGATCAGGACACAGCATTACTGCCCACTCTACCTCTTGGCAAGCAGCTTTCCTGAAGGAGATGTCCTGATCACCCAGTTAGGGTCCAATGAGCATTCCCCTGCTGGAATTTTCAGGAAACCCCCCACTGCAGCACTAGAACTGCTCCCAAGACAAATGCCAGGACAAACAGGCTGCAAGGTTTCCACTACCCAGGTCTTTCCTCTAGCCCAGCAGGTCTGGCCCACGTCCCACCTGTGAAGCTGCTGCTCAGGGCAAAGCCTTATTCTTCCTGCAGCAAACAGGGCTCAAGGAAGCAATGGGAAAATAATTTTTTTTTTTTTTTAAGTGATGGTCTTAGTATTTTAAAATTGCCAGATTAGAAGGCAAAAAATTTTAGGCTCTAGAGTCACCTGCTCTCAGGTCTACTCATAGCACATTAAAGATTTCCTAGACAATTTGGGGCAAGCTTTTGATCCCAGAAAAAATCTTACCACTACATTAGACACCTTCCACTACAGGTATGCTGGTTTAGTGTGGCCACTGCAAAAGGATGTATAAACACTGAAAACAGCCTAAAATGTGAGATGTTTCATGTTTAAAGACAGACTTAAGAAACCAAAATGGTCCACTCAGCTAAAATAAGAAGGTTCATCTACATGGTGGTATGGATTATTTCAATGAAACCATTTCAATAATTAATGAGGTTCATCTTAAGTTTAGTTTCATCCATCTTAAGTTCAGGCTAATCCTCAAGACACTGAAGTTTTCTGTTCTCCAGTTTTGAGCTTACAAGAATGTTTTAACTTTAACTCACTCAAATGTACCATGCACCTGCTTTTAGCCCTTTCCCATTCCTGGTGATTATCTGAATGAAGAGGATGAATGGATTCCTCTAACAGGAAAGGAATATCCCAACATGCAGAAACTTCTCTCTCTCAACACATCTGCCCACAGCACTCAGCACTGCCAGGACCAGGTGCACAGGCAAGCAGAGCTTTACCAGCACTGTCACTAACACAAGGGGCTTTGGCACAAACCAGCAGCTTTCACACTGATCCCACGTTGATCCAGCCCAGTTATGTCAATTTAGCCACTGCTTAGAATTGCCATGATCCAAACAGGTACTGCAATATTGCTGTTCACTTTTGCTGAGTAGTGAGCTAAGACTAACTAGTCTTGTCTCTTTTTCAGCTTTCCTACTGGGAATTTTGCCAAGCTTTATCACCCCCTCCTCCATTCCCTGATCTCAGGCAGTTAATACTGTGCCTACAAATACATTCCTCTTTTTTTTAAAGGTTTCTCTTCTGTTTGTTTGTGCTTTCCAGCTTTGGAAGCCCAGCAAGATTAACAAAACACGCCTGGTGGCAAGAGTGTAGAGCTGTTAGTGATTTAAGGCTTGAACTAGAGATATTAGTTTTAAGCTGCCCTCGGTGGAACTCAGCTCAACTTCCAGTGCCACTCAGACCTCAGCATCTCTGTTTGCTGGGGTTTTTTTAATCCTGAGGCACAGCGCCCTCAAATGGCTCCGGAACGGAGACTGGAGCCCCGAGGGCAGAGCATGAACTGCTCCTCACTACGGTTTAAGGATAAATCTCCACCATCAGGTCTGTTCTGACAGGCACACCTCCCAGGACCATCTGCTGGGAATCACTGCCTAATGCCCCGCTGACTTCCTGAAGTACTTTAAAAGTTATCAACAATAATTGCAAACTACTCAACGTCTTAAGCATCTCAGTCTCCAACACAGAGAAACTTTCTGTCCCACACAAGATCACCTGCTCCTACTGGGATGCTCAGAGGAGAGCCAGGCCCTGCAACTACAGCCTCGGGCAGAGAAATCCTAAAACTTGGGTGGGAAAAGCCCCCCTGAGTGGGATGTTCCTGTGACCATGCTGGGGCACTGGCTGCTCCCTGACCACAGCTCCCAGTGAACCGCCCAACACCAACAGCAGGAGCCTGGGAAGAGTCAGCTGCACAGCTGCCACAGCATCAAGCCAGGATGGCACCAAATCACCCCAGTGGGACACAGCCACCTGCCCCATGGCTGGGGACAATGACACAAGATGTTCCCTCCATCAGGATGCTCCTCTATAGCACCCTTAGGTTCTGCCACCCACCCACGATGGAACTGAGGGCCCGAGCCCCTCAGGGATGGCTGAGGCAGCTCCACAGGGAGAGCCAGGGTGGGCAGAACACCCACCATGGGACAGTGGCGGTGGTTGGCAGGGCCCGGGAGCTGAGGGGACAGTGAGGCAAGGGGACAGGAGAGTCACCTCCCTGAGGGCAGGTGAAGCACCAGCATCCTGCCTCATGAGGCTGGCAGTACCCGGCCTGAGGGGGGGAGCGGGCCGGGATGGCAGCACCGGCCCTGAGGGGAGGAGCGGGCCGGGATGGCAGCACCGGCCCTGAGGGGAGGAGCGGGCCGGGATGGCAGCACCGGCCCTGAGGGGGAGACCGGGCCGGGATGGCAGCACCGGCCCTGAGGGGAGGAGCGGGCCGGGATGGCAGCACCGGCCCTGAGGGGAGGAGCGGGCCGGGATGGCAGCACTGGCCCTGAGGGGAGGAGCGGGCCGGGATGGCAGCACCGGCCCTGAGGGGAGGAGAGGGGTGGATGGCAGCACCGGCCCTGAGGGGAGGAGCGGGCCGGGATGGCAGCACCGGCCCTGAGGGGAGGGGAGGAGCGGGCCGGGATGGCAGCACTGATGGCCCTGAGGGGAGGGGAGAGGTGGGATGGCAGTACCAGCCCGGCGCAGGTGCTGAGGGAGGCGAAGGAGTCGCTGCGGTTCAGCGCGTGTCCCGAGTAGAAGCAGAGCCGCTCCCGCGGGGGCCGCCGCGCCTCCCCGCGCTGCCGCTCCACCGCGAAGCCCCGGGCCAGGAAGCGCAGGTCGCGGCGGAGGTGCAGGTAGAGCTCGGCGCCGGCGGCGGGCAGGCGGAGCAGCACAGCCTCCTCCTCCTGCTGCTCCGCCGCTGCCCGCCGGCGCCGGGGGCCGCCGCGATCCCCTCCGGGCGGCAGCAGGTGGATCTTCTCCAGCGGCACTCGCTCCGGGATCACCACTTCCAGCTCCGCTCCGCCAGCTGCAGGCGAGAAGGAGAGAGGCTCAGGCGCTCGCACCCCGGAGCCGCGGCCCGACGGGGCGGCCGGGGGCTGCGGCACCCCCCGCTCCCCGGGACAGCCCCGCGCTCGGGTTTCAGCGCAGACAGCCCCGCGCTGGAAACCGTGAACAGGCTGCGCAGACAATGGAGCCAGCGGAGCATGGCGATTTATTTCTCTCTATATACACATATATTAGAGACAGAAGCGTGCAGGGAAGAGAGGAATAGGGCAAACGCTAAAGCTACTTGTATCATTAAAAAAAAATAAAAAATATATATAGCTCAGACACAAGCATCGCATTTCACCAACCCCAATAAAAATCTGCAGGGAGAAGGGGAAAAGCAGAGCGAGCCGCAGCAGCAGCCAAGGACAGTCAGCAGCTTTCCACATGGAACGCTACAGCAGCAGCGGGAGGACAGGAAAAGAAAATACAAAAGCCTGGAGCAATTCATCCCGCGGGCTGGGACCGTGGCCACGCAGGGGATGCGGTGCGTGCCCTGCGCTCCGCGCCCGCACGCTGCCGCCCGGGACCGGACCCTGTCAGCGCCGCCGGGGAAGGGGAGCCGGGGCGGCAGGGAGCGCTACCTGTGCCGGCGTCCAGTCCGCAGAGCAGCAGGCAGGGCACGACGAGGGGCAGGAGGCAGCCGTCAAACATGGTAGTGCGGCGGCGGGGCCGAGCGCGCAGCGCAGCGACGGGAGCGGGGCCCGAGTGCGCCCTGCCCGCCCTCGGCACCGGGGATCGCCGCGGAGCGCGCCCGACCACGCCCCCTGCCGCGGCTCTGCGCGCCCATTGGCGGCGGCGGCCACCGGGACACGCCCCCCGCTCCCCCATTGGCTGCGCGCCGCGAGGGGGGAACGCACGTGGGAGCGGGCGGCCGGTGGGGGGCGCCCTCTCCTGCCCCGGGCCGGGCCCTGAGGGAGCCGCCGGGGCCATCCCGGCCGGGTCAGGGCGTCTGACGGGCGGCATCCCGCCGCTGGGCAGCCCCGTCGTGTTTCCTTCCTCTCCCCTTCCTCAGCATTTATTGAATTTAGACACGATTGCGGCAGCTCGCTTGAGAGTCACCCATTCCTTTCCCAGCGCCAACCACAGGACCGGTACCAGGGCTTGGAAGACCAGGAAAAAATTAGGTTGGCGATATCATAGAATGGGTGAGGTTGGAAGGCACCACAGAGGGACATCTGGTCAAAGCTCCCTGCTCAAACAGGGTCATCCCAGACCACAGTGTATGGACACACAGAGATTTTGGGCAATGATCCCACATACTCCTGAAGCACTCATTGCATGGATGAAAATAAGAAACAAGTGCATAAAGAGATATAAAAATTGATTTTTGCTATCAATTCCCATTTTCACTGAGGTCCTGCAGCCACTAGAGTTCCTTCCCACCTGGCTGGGCCATATCCTGTGTGTCCTCAGCTGTGCAGGGATCGGGAAAATTCAGTTTGGACAGGGGCTGTTGGAAGCAGTAGGGTGATTTCCAAGAGCAGAAACGTTCTGCTGTGTTTGGTGGGCTTTGGATGGGATCCTGTGCTCCTGGCATGGTTGAGTCATGGAAAGCAGTCAAGACCCAACCTGTTAGCAGCTTTAAATTGTGGTGGCCCAGCAGAGCAGTGTCCTAGAGTTTAAACTTCTGCAAAAATCTGCAACTTTGTTGCTGAAATTGTAGAAGAATTCAAAGGAAGACCCATAAAAGAGTGTGAATGACTCTGGCAGATCTCTCTGCAGCACTTCCACAAGAATTGTCCGGAGGAGCAGCACTGACAGCAGGAATGGCTCTGAGTCACAAACAAGTGGAATTAGGTTTGGATGCTCATCCCGGGGAGGGCAGGCACTGGGGGAGTGCTGAGAAAAAAGTGTTTGGAGCTGGGAAAAGGACTGGTGAGAGACATGAGCGCGTTAACACCATTCTCTTTCTTCCAGGCATTGAACAGGCAGCAAAAGCCACATTTTCTTGGTGAGTTGCTCCTGTACCAGGAGAGAGGCTGTTTGAGAGTCAGAACCTTGGAGCTGCTGCCAGCTCTTCACCCTGCTGGCTGTGCTTTTCCCAGGCACCAAGGGACAGCCCATGGCTCACCGTGGGCTGGTGTAGCACCTCAGAAAGCCCTGCCCTGCACAGGGCCTCTGCAGCACCTCATGGACACAAGAGCATGTCCCACCTCCTGCTGTGGCCTCAGGGATGCCCCTCATCCCTCCAGTGGGGTGGCACCTGCAGGATGTTTCCTGTGGTCAGCAGCAAGAGCCAAACTGGGGACCTGCAAGCAGCTCCCAGCAGGAAAAATCAGAGTAAGCCAAGACCCGTGGCTCAAACTCTTTATTAACATGAGATCAGATGAGTTTTAATAGCTCTGTGTTTCCCACTCTCTCTTTCAGGGCTCTCTCTGCTCCTAATAAGAATTTACCAAAGTAAAGGGACTGGCCCAGACCCATTCAAGTGAGACAAAATCTCAGTTTGGGGCTGCCTTGCTCTGTGTCAATAGTATAACATAACACAGAAAACAAAACCTCAGAGCCTGAATTTCCCTCCTGACCTGCTGTGAACCAACGATTCCAGTGCCTCCCTCCATTGCCAGGCCCTGGCTGGCACAGAGTGGGGCAGAGCTCCCCCACAGCTCCTCACCCGTGGCAATCCTCTGCTCCCGAGAGCCACGAGGCAATTTGATTTGTGAGCTGCCAAACCTGGCCTGAGCCCTCAACAGCCACATTTAAACCCAGACCACCAGCTGACTTCATTTGCTAAGGGACTGGAGCTGCTGCCTCGAAAGGGTTTGACGAGGGGGCTTAGATCTGTTTAACTTTTTAGTAGATCCTTTCTCCCACCTTCCAAAGTCCTCTGCCAGAAAAATAATAACAATACAGAGAAAGAATAAATTTAATAGTGTGGGGGAAGAGAGGCACCAATAAAGAGAAGTCTGTAACTTACTGCATGGAAGGACTTGCTCAGTGGCTGGGCTGGCTGGCACAGACTACACTGGAGTAGGGATAATCCCAGTGGAGCATCCCAGACTTCCAGAGCATTTGGACAGGAGCCCAAGAGGCTGCAAACCCCAGGACAGGGCAATATCCCAGGCAGGCTCAGTGTTGCCAAGGGCTGCAGCCAGGAGTAAGGGACAAGCCCCACAGCAGTACCCACACAACAAAAGAGAAATCTGTCTTAGGAGCAGCACTGGTGGTTCTCTTGAATCCAAATCCCAAAGTTCCAGTGAGATGCATTAATTGAACACCACGGACTTTTCAGAAATGCCTTGAAGTTGTTTCTGATAAGGATAAGGTGTGTGTGTGGCAGGAGGGGGCTGTGGTGCTGTTGTGGTGGTTGCATTGCTCCCCTGCTCCCAGCCCGTGGGGAAGGGGGAGTTTCTCTTCTCCCCATCACAGAGGTGGATTTGGCCCTGCAGTTCCTAGGAAACAAGCCCTCTCCCCCTCTGAAACTGGTGTTGGGGTAGGGTTTTTTCCTTCAATTTTAAATGTACATCGAGGAAGCCAAGTTTCATGGCCATTATTGCAGAGTTAATAACCCTTTGGAGACTGCAGACATGTGTTATATCCATCTTCCCGAGCAGCCACTTGGCTCGCCGCCTGGAAAATGCCAGCATGGGAAGGGTTAACTTGGCCACTGCTCAGCCTTCTCCCCTCTCCAAACCCTTCCTGTCCTGGTCCTCTCCCTGACCTCACAGGTGCTGCTCTCCTGCCGGGACACTCCGATGCTTTTCCTGCTCTCCCTGCAGCTCCTCCCGTCTCTGCAGCCTTCGGGAATCGGGAATTTCCTCCCCTCTGGGGGCTGCAGAGCTTGGCCAGGCTGCCTGGGCACGGACCTGGCAGGTGCTGCTCTTATCTGTGCAAATGACCCCCCAAAGAGGCCAGAGACAGTTTAGTGACAAGTAGGGACCAACAAAAGCTCCTTTGTAACTTCAAATCATCAGCCAAATAAGCACAAGTAGTTCCAGAGGTGCCAACAGTGGTTTTCTTACAGACTGGCTTTACACACTGAGCCAGAGGTTCAATTAAAGCTCTTTGGTGGAGGCTGTTTCAGGCTGTGCTGCTTCACGTTGGACTCACTTCTTACAGGTGGTCTCAACCACCTTTAAGTCTTTTTCAGCCTAAACGATTCTAAGTGGAGTCACCAGAATCCAGTACTGTTCATGCAGCCTCAGCAGAGGCACTTAGGAGGTTTCTCCTTACAGCAGCCTGAATTCTCCCAAGCCTGCAAGAGAAAATCTCCCTCTGGGACACCTCTCTCAAGTGTGGCTCGAAATGGACAGTCTGTTCATGAGCTCCTGGGAACAGCAGAGCAGAAAGAAAAGTGACAGTGACCCTGGAGGTGTCTAGGACCAGAGCTGAGCCACCAGCACCTGTGTCCTCAGGGGAGCACGCAGCCTGCTCCTATTCAGCTGGGACCATGGTAGGAGAGCTGTCCTTCTCCTGGCAGGGGACTTTATCCACAGGCTGACAGAGGGTCCCTTTTGTCACAGGGAGTTTGCTGTGGCTGAGCTGTGTCTGTCTCACAGTGAGTGCATCACATGGAGTTTTCCCTGATCTTCCCTGCAAACACTTTCCCCCTGCCTGTCTCCAGGGGGCTCCCAGCTTCACCCAGCTGCAATGGGGGAAAACACCCTGTTCCATAGAATACTGAGAAATTAGAAGAAAAATATTCCTGTGGGATAGGGGCTGAGGAATGGACTCCTGAAATTCCAGGTTGCTTCACATCTGGCTCCATTCCCACCCCGGTGCTACGGCTGCCTGTGCAAAACCTTCCAGGGTAACTTTGGTGCAGATTTGCAGGGATCAGTTTGCAACAGTGTCAGGACCAGAAAATAACTGCACACAGGCCACAGCAGGTGAGAAAAGCCAGGAATATACAAGAACATACTCCCAGCTGAGCAACACAACTGCAGGGTGCTGGGAGAATCCGCTCCCTCGGGGCAGGCAGCAAGCACTTTGTGTAGAGAAATCAGAAAGGAAAGTGCTCCACCACCTCCAGGCAGGCCACGCTGGGGTTTTCAGACAGACAGACAGACAGACAGACAGACAGACAGGAGTGGTGCAGGTCAGGCTGGGATGGGAGGCCATGCACAGATACCATCGCCGGGTCAGCCACGCGTCACTCCCCAGGCATGCGGGGACAAACGGACAAAGCAAAGAGCTGCCCTGTTTGACCCTAAAGTTCAGCCAGGCTTTTTATGGAGTCCAGTGTTGCCACCTCTGATGATGTTATCAGGAACCTGGGAATAGCTGGCATTTTCTTTTGTTATGATTTATGGTTTGTTTGGGTTTTTCCTCTCTGGACCTTGGCTCCTGCAATCATGAGATTGATTTCTCATTTAACTCCATGTTTGACCTCCTGACAGGCTGGGAAAGTGAGCTAGGAGAAGCCTGGAGGGTTTTTACCCAGGAGCAAATTTAAAAAGTTCCTAACCATGGGATTGTTTAAGACAATCCTTTCTCAAAAATGATGCTAGTGATTCTTTTTGTGTGTGTGTGTGTGGAGGCAGAAGCTCTGAATGCTTGTAGCTGACAATGGCAAAGCCCTTCATGCAAGTGCCACCTCCGTGGCACCAGCAATATCCCACATCTGGTGTTCCCCATCTCCTCTCAATCATCTCCCTTTGTGTCCAACACCTGCCTTGGATGAGGATCATTCCCCCAAACTGAATATTTCA